AAGGAAATCATCTTCTATCTACAAACACTACCACCTCCAGCACAATAGTGAAATGCCTGAACGCTTGATCGAGCAATTCAACGTCATCACGAAATGTAACGGCAAATTTGATTGCCTTGTTAATGAAATGTTGTATATTCGCATGCGTAAGCCAACACTGAACGTGCAAACGGATTCCATCCGCGCCAAGGTGTTTGTTTAAGCCGTTCAGTCTAATTTATGCTATTCTTGTACCTTTCCTTATTTGCATGTTTTTAAACTAGTCTCTTGATAATGGAGTCATGATGACCCCGAAACGTCGAGTAATAAATCTTTCCTGGTTTTTTCTATGCCTTTGCTTTAGCAAATCCCTGCTGATCAACTGATTTTTTTCAGGTCTGATTTTCGCTATTGCATAAATAGCGCTATCTACTGCGAAGGATCATGCATCATACGTATTTAATACCGCAGTTCAAATATATGAACTTCATATAATCATTGTAACTAGACTTACTGTTGCCAAACACTGCTAGGCAAGTGAGAATGAAGCAAGGGAACCAGAAAGACGCACACGACTACCACGCCAAAGAAAGGGACCTGGATACCAGCGATCCTGTGTTTGTAGAGGATTTCAGCTCCCCCAAGTCGTGGCAGAAAGGAACCGTAGTGAGCTTGACAGGTCCTGTGTCAGCTTTAGTGGAGTTGCAGGAGGGTCGGATAGTTCGTCGTCACTAAGATCACCTGCGAAAGGATCCTAGTGCTTCTGAACAAAACCAAAAATCGACATCTCCAGGACCAGTCAACCCAGAACACCAATCTGACGAAAGTTCAACCCCTAAAACACCCAAGGCCGGATCACCACGCCCAATTAGAAATCGACGCAGTCCAGAACGTTTTAAGGTTCGGAGTTTCTTTTTAATCAGTTTGGTTACAGTTGTTCATAAAGTTAGGTTGTTGACTGAAATAGAAATTTTGAGAACATTTATAGGAACATTAAGAACATTTAAGATTAAGAGGTTTGTTTTGGGTTGATACACAAAAATCTTGATGAGAGGAATGTTATACTCATGACATAATCGTTACACGTGCATACCACGAGGTAATCGGATATCCCAAGGGACGCAACAGAGCACATGTACTTGTAAGCTTTATCATTGTTCTTCTTTATGTTGAGTAAACCAGACGTCATTTATAATATACATTCTCGATTTATTACACCTATACCCTATACCCTGTGCCCTATATGCCCTATGCCCTATATGTCTTTAGGAGATATACCCAGTGCTCTGGAAGATTTAGACAAAGCTATCCAACTAGGCAAAGACAGAGGTGCTGCTGCTGCTCAGGCATACACCTAGCAAGCATTAATTCATAGACGAAATGGTAACAAAGACAAAGCTCGAGATGACTTTACAAAGGCTGCAGATACTGGCAATGCATTTGCAAGGTCCATGGTTGTACAGATGAATCCATGTGCTGCATGTGTAACAGAATGCTTGCTGATGCCATCAACCAGCTCCGAGGAGAACCACAATGAGTATAGTATTTGCATTTTTGTCTTGCAAGTCAATGAATTTCAAACTGTTGGGCATGGATTGATGTTTTGAGGAATTGTCTGTTTAGGGACAGACACTAAACAGTCATTGACTAGGAGGTAAACCTGTATCTAGAACTAAATGAAAAGAAATAAAATCTACAGTTTGAAATAGTATTGCAGCATTTCACCGTATTTGGAAACAGGGTGCCCAAAGTAGGCAACAGTTTTGGTATATTGTAGGATAAGGTAATAATACACCAAGAGGGTTAAACAAACAAAGGCTGCTCTATATGTGCCAAACTTTGATTTATTTAAATCCTTAAACTCTTCAGGTGACCAACTTTTACAAGTATGTAAGTTATTTTTTTTTTCACCTTTATTCGAAGGAAGCTTTAATGGTTCTTAGTTGTTTTTGTCTTTGATGCATGCTTTATGTTATCAACATGGCTTGACTAAGTTGCCAAGTTTGGGGTGCGTCTTATAACCGAGCGCGTCTTACAACTGAATAAATACGGTAATTCTCAGATAGTGGTTTTGGATGTTTTTCAAACACTAAAGGCCAAAGTACTAGACAATTAAATAAGAAAGTTGAATACCCTAATTGATGGTTTCACATTTGATGCATAGGGGCCTGGCTTCCATTTTTGTTTTGCAAGTTTTTTCGAAAATTCAACATAATACCCTGCTGTGAACATTTTCAGGTACTTGTCTTGCATTTTCTAATGTTTATTTTAAATTGGGGATTGGTCATGTAAGACTTTGAAGGTCGGCGATCAGAATCTGAATTTAATGCATTCAGCATTAGGTCAAGAGTGGAGCTTAATGAAAAGCTGCTTAGGTTGCTCAAATTTGCAAGAGTAGAGACTTTTATTGCACAAGCAGTTGTGCTTTCAACTTACATTACATTTGTCAAACTTTGATGGAATAAATGGGCGGATCAAAATTTCAGTATTCCTATATCTGGAAGGTGCCTCCTAACATGAGTGATATTAACTAAAAGGCAATAAGAACAACCCTTTATTTAGGGAGTTAGGATGTGCAGTTTTTTACATCACCAATAATATTTCAAGTTCTTTCTATCATCATCATCATCATTATCATTATTCTTTCCATTTATATGGAGAGTAGTGGAACATACGTTAAGAGGTAGACAAACTCTTTAGCATTTAAGATGTTGTCCGTGGGTTTCCATGGCAACAGGTTTGCAAAATTTCTGGGGGTTATTTTCAAGTGTTATTGTCATGGTTATTGTGCTGATGAAATTGTGGCCTTACCCTAAATGTCTTATTGAACGCCGTCATACTTAAACAAGTTATTTAAGAATCTTTTGTATTGCGCTTTTATTCATTTGCCACTGATTTAAATACATTTTTATAATGAGATTCATTTTAAGCAGATTAACAATTGTAATAGGATATATAGTTCATACTGACTCAGTTTATCTTTTAATTGACAAGCACATCTTATTATTATGCTTAGAAGCGAATACATGAATTTTATGAGTTCCTAACTAGACTTGTGTTAGAAGAAGCCCTCAGGCATAGCAGTAGTGGTTGAGCCACACTGCTCACTGGCTCACCCCTCTATTCTTTGCTTGAGCTTCACTGCTTTTAAGAGGTAGTACCCTTCACCATCATTTTTAGATGTCACGCAAAATTCCCTCTTTCATTTTGAGGAACGCTGCATGACACCCCTGAAGACGGTTGCAGAAGAGGCTAATATGAGGGCCTGCGTGCTTCTACTTTATCCCTACGCACATCTTTATAGTTAGAAATTAGAAAGGCTTGTTTATTAAGAAGAAAATACGCTAAATCCTGAGTTTTATTGAGTGCCTTGGGTTGTGAGATATTTTTAAACCAAAGTAATTCTAAACAGTTCTAAAAAGTAACTGTTTTAGACGAGAACTTTTGAGGAAACTTACTGTCCTGTTTACTTTAAGCATTTAACTCTTTAACGGTGTGTTAGTAATGATTACAATCGAACGAGAAAGATTGATATTGCTTTTATATCTTCATTTCTTCAGAAACAAATTGCAAAGTAAGAATATTTCTTTTGACTCAATGAGCCAATAAATAGAGGAACATTTCTGTAAGAGTGTATAATAAAACATTGAAAGTTAACATCAGATTTTTTTGTCAAGCAATCATCATTTTATTAAATGCAGTACGTTGCGATGGAAACAAAATGCAATAGCTTAACCCGATGGTTAATAATACATGTAGTTGCGACAGCCACAAAGTAGGTGGGGGCAAAATCAAACAAGCAACATATTTTAATTTTAAAACTAACTACAACAGAGCGAAGTTACAGCAGATTGAAAATTGAAAACTTCATAGTAATCCCAGTTTTACAGAAGACATTAAACCTATTTAAACAAAATGATAAATGTTATGTGATTACATATAACAATACAACTACAACTGACGTAACCATTTCTTCAACTTAGAACATTGTCATTTTTAACCAAGCAAATATGACTCAAAGTTCAAAGAACGGAAGTTAGGTTCTAATCTAACTGAGATTCCCATTTTTTTTGACGGGCGTAATATCCTGTTAATTCCTGACAAACAGGAAAACCGAGAAGAAAAGAAAATCAAAAGTAACGATTACACTCTGGCCATAAGCCAAAAACGTGAAGAACGTGTACCACTTCCCAGTACACTCTCTCTATTTCATTTTGGTCTCCTGAGGCCACGGCAGTTTTGCACTTATTCATGATACTTTTATAGTTTGTGAGAATAGCCATGGATCGGGATTTGTTTTCTTCCAGTTTTTCTGCGGGCCGATTCTGACTCTGGTCCAAAGTAGGTTGCTCATTTGGTAGAAGCTCGTTTACAGCACAGTATTCTGCACATGTACCAAGACATGTGGGTCCTCCCTTGTCATTTAGGTCTTTTTTAAACATCGTCCGACAATTTTTACAAGGAAGCCCACTAGTCAAGGAATCATATCTTGTCGCGCTATTTTGACTTTTAAAGGCATACAAGAATGTCCAGTTATCTTGATCTGGATTATTCAGAGGAAGGAAATGTACTACTGCATTTCCGAAGCTTTCTTTAAGATTTGTGATTCGATTGTACAGACTGATAGGCTTTACAAAGTCACTTACTGCTATTGATGCACCTACGAAAAACTTCTTCAAGCGCTCATCTTCAACCACCACCAAAACGTCTGGTAGGAAGATGTTTCCAGGTCCAAGTTGGCCAAACCAGAACTGTGCTATTTCTAATACACCTCTGGCGTGTTCTTTGCTCCCTCTTTCGGCAAGACTTTTCATGTGGTGGCTGAACTGAAATATAGCAATATGCAAAAATTCGTGAAACTAAAAACTCAAAATCAGGAAGTAAACTATGTGGACCAATCTTGTTGTCAAGACAGTAGATGGTCACTCGTTCACCCTTTTGATTTGACCGTGCCCGAACCAACCTCGCTTTCTGCTTACGGGCTATTATAAATCTTAAATATTTAGTCTGAAATTCCTTCACTGATTTTGGAAGGTACTTTGACTTTAATACACCTATAACTTGGGGGGGCTAACGTGCCCTAGTTAGAAAACAGCACTCTTTCAAAGCTAGATACTGTTTCACAGCACTCGCTGTAATAGTTCTGACAGGGACTAAAAAAGCTCTACTGAACTCAAATCGATCTCCTTTCAGTTTGTAATCCAGCTCCTTAAAGCTTCCATGCCCCTCAGAAGTGATATGTGAGATGAGATAATTTGCAAAAGCAAGGCGTGTAAAAATATCAATCCGCTAAAAATATGAATGCAATTAAAAACTTCGTTTTATGATCAATATTCTAATATATTTTCCTGACCGCTTTCCCACTCACCATTTCCAAGAGTTTGCTTCCAGGGTCTATGAAATGTTTTGAGTGTTCTTTCGTCAGTTCTTTCATATCATCGGGGCTCAGGCCACCCCACTCGCCCACTTTAAGGAGATTTTCAGTGTCGGCAGGATTTTTATGGTGCAAGTACGAGTGGACTCTTAAACTCCAGTAGATATCTTTAAAACATCCTCTTATGAAGTTCTCGCGCTCCCCAGACAAATTGTGCTCACCGTCTAAGCGGTACATCAGAGCCAGTGGTTTAAGAACCTTTTCTAATAATTCATTGACATGCTCCTCTATCGAGTCTTCCAAGATTCTCATTTTGTTGACAATCATATTGAGGTGGTCGAAGGGATCGACAGTAGCCATGTTATCCCAAAACTTTAATCTTCTCTCTATCTTGGCATTAGGTTAAGAAGCTTTAAAATGGCAGGTGTCGACCCCCATCTGTTCCAGACACGTTAAGAGATTTCCACCTTTCATCTTTGAGGAACGCCTAACTTTAGTTATGTCTATAGAATTGGATACAATAAATTGGAGCAGCTGATTAGCATCAGAAACCCGAGGCAACGAGAGAAAGTCGTTGGCCCCAGAAAAATCCCTGTTATCTCTTATTTTTTTTTTTTTTTACTTTCAGCAATCATGATGATCGTCGCATCATCTCATCAAATAACCACAGAAAACTAATCATATAAATTTTTTCATGCCATCTTGAAAACGATACCCCATTGAACCCTCAAAGCAAAGCAAAGCTATGTTACTTTTTCAGCCTGCCAAGTAATTGGTTAACTCAGTGCTACGAGCTATTAATATTTCATAATGTATCATCAGTTCCTTAGGAACGATGTATAAACTTTGAAAACTGTTTTGAGACTTGTTTTTGAAACATTTGAAAAAGGGCTCCATCATTGACGTGCATTTCAGTGATCCTAGCTTTTACAGGAAAACCACCGGTAGGCAAAGTTTTTTTTAATTCTAATTTTTAAAGTAGACGATATTGGTGAAACAAATGGAAATGTCCTACGTGTTTCTATCATCAAATGCTTTCATCTCTAGACTTTTTTTATCGTGATGAGACCGACTATACAAGAATAGCTTGTTTACCAAGTGCAATTCATCTTATTCTCTGTTGTTTCCTAGCTATAACTTCTCATATACATTTTACGAAATTGCAGAAGATGAAAAGACTCCTCGAAAAGGAAAAAGACGAAGGCGAAGGAGGAAGTGATAAGGCTTGTGATATACAACATCCTTCCTGTTCACTGTCTAACTTTCGTTTCCATACTCAGGTAGAATGAAAAAATTTACATAGGTTTTAAAACTGAATTGATAGAGGTCTAGCCAACACATTCATTTAAGAGTTTCGCATGCATTAATAATTTACCTGTTACCTTGTTTCCCTGGGCAGATGAGACAAAAGCTTTGAGATACCCTCTTAGTTGTAATCAAAGAAGAGAAACAATTCTTGCTATTATTTTTATTAGTCCTCACTTTAATTTTGGAAACCCATCACTTTCATTAAAGGTAAACCTTTCGACTGAAATGAGGGTAGGCTAAATTGAATATAATTTTCATGATTACAAAAGTTCAGAGTTCATTTATGCAAATGTATATTGCAAAGTTTATGGAAAAAAGTATGTGACAGGAGAAAAGCTTGCCAGCTAAGAGCGGCTTTTAAATAGACACTCCTATTCAGGTTGTTTCGAAATATATCTGTGATCTTAGGGGGTAAGTTTCTAAAGAAATTGTGGTGCTGCGTCGGTGAAGGTAACAAGGTAATTTGGTAAAATCAGCTTAGTTGAAATGGTACATTGGCCACCGTAAAGAGTTAAAAAGCTGACGTTTCGAGCGTTAGCCCTTCGTCAGAGCGAATGATCTGTGATCTTGTTAGTCAAATATTTTGAAATAAATACCAGCAATAGATAGCTTGCTATGAGTTGCAAGTTGAGATAACAGTTCGGGTTTATGCATATTTAATCGACTGAATAAGCCGTCAAAAAGAATCTTTCACCAGCAAGTTTCGATAATCTGTGAACTCAGAAGCTTAAAAATCTTAAAGGTTGCATGCCTTTGTTCAATATTTACGTCCCATAAAACTGCTACGCGATACGTCACATCTCCCTTATCTTTTTCTGAAGCATCTCAGCGGGCTGGGATCTCTTAACTCCTTTCTAACTTAATTTCTTATAAAGAAAAGGAGCAAGAAGTATAAAGAGTTTGTCACACCTTTGTTACCCCTTTTGTTGTAAAGAGTAACTCTGGAAAATATTTTGATTCAGCAGATTTGTAATTGTTTTGATCATTGTTATGTGTGGTTGACACTAAGAATTCATTCAACCAGAACACGCAAGGTCTTGCCATAGGCTTGATAAAAGGCATAATGGAACCCTTTCCTGATATAAAATACTAAATAAGTCTTGACTTCATCCTTGGAAAGTTTATTTTGTCTCTAACATGGGCTGTAACATCTACAAGTGTTAGCTGGGCGGAGCTCCTATTTTGTCAACTTTAAAAGTGGTTAATTTTTAAAATAGCCTTGTCGTCAAATAAGTCTTTTCCCCATCAAACCTCAGTTATTTGTAAGATGAGAGGCGTACAATCTCAAAGTTGATATGCTTCTAATGAAATTTTACGTCCCATAAAATTGCGATATAAGGAGTCGTCATGGAACCCATTCCTAATTTGAAACATTTAATAACTGCTTGTTTTTCGGTATTTTGTACACCATATTTGAAAATAAATCGTCCTACAAAGTCTAAGTAATTGCATTTTGCCACCAAGATCGCTCAGGTTCGGGCACGTCCACTATTTCATCATTGAACTGTTGGAAGAGCTCGAACTAGGAATCGTGCTCGGCATTCAAATTTATGGAAGTCAACTAAATAAAATTAACTCTTGTTTATCACTTCTACGATTCTAGCAAGAACTCGAGACAATGTACGGGAAACAGCGTGAGAAGAAACTCGAATTCACCTGGTTTTTGGCTCCTAAGGTGGGTTGAAGAGAAAAATCGAGTCTCCAGATGGGATTTGAACCCACGACCCTCTGTGATCTAGTCGGATGCTCTAACCACTGAGCTACAGGAGACTCTATGGTGAGCAAGGGTCAATTAGTGGGTATTCACTGGAACCGCATCACGCATCTCTTCTATTAAAAATTGTTTATTTCATCTTTACAAGGTGGGTTTAAACCTGAAATAGATCACATGTTCCACACAAAATTACAGGGTGTGGTAAGGATTCCTCCGTTCTTAGAGGAGCCTCAAGATGCCCTTTGATTATTTGGGTTTGCTTTTTAGTCTTCTTATCTTTGCTTTCTTTTACCTTACAGAACAAGCATTGGTTTCTTTTTTTAATTCTAATTTAGAGTAGATGACATTGATGAGATAAATGGAAGTAACTGAAATGTTTCTTTCATCGAAGGTTGCCAGCATTGAAATGTTTTGAACAGAGAACATGCAATCGCAGCATATCTGAACTTTTTCCGTCGTGAAGAGACCAACCATAAAAGTATAGAGTATAGCTTGCTTTCTAAGTGCAATTCGTCTTACTCTCTGTTGTCTCTTAGCTATAACTTCTCAAACACATTTAACGAAATTGCAGAAGATGAAAAGACTCCCTGAAAAGGAAAAAGACGAAGGCGAAGGAGAGAGTGATAAGGCTTGTGACATACAACATTCTTCCCGTTCACTGTCTAACTTTCGTTTCCATACTCAGGTAGAAGTAGGCGTTAAAATTGATATAGGTTTTAGACCACACAAGGTCTTGCTATAAATTCGATAATAGGCGTGGTAGAACCCCTTCCCGATTTGAAATGCCAAATAAGCTGTGACTTCATCCTCGGAATTTTCTTCGTGTCTAATTTGAGCTTACACGTCTCCAAGAGCTAGCTGTGTGGAAACCCTATTTTGACAACTTTGAGGTGGTTGATTTGATACCCTTGCCGTCGAAAAAATCTTTTGGCCAGCAAGTTGTCTGCAACGTGTGCAGAATGCTGCGGCTAGACTTGTACTGAGTTTAAGTAAGTATTCGCATATTTCTCCTGCGCTTTGTCAACTTCACTGGTTACCAATACAACATCGTGTTTATTTTAAGATCATAATTTTAACATTTAAAGCTATTCATGGATGGGCGCCTAGGTATATCATTGAACTAATTAACATCAAGCCTAGGTCTGTATATAATCTTAGATCAAATCAAAGTTTATTACTTGACCCTCCTAAGGGGAAAATGCTTGCCACGTTAGGGGACAGGTCATTCTCTGCTGCTGCCCCGTACTTATGGAATGCTCTGTCAGCTGAATTACGTGATATTCAATCATTTTCCATTTTTAAATGTAAGCTGAAAACTTGTTTATTTCGTGCAGCTTTCTCAAAGTACCCTGTCTGACAATTACTTTTATTAGTATTACTAATTAAGTTCCTTATTAAGATCCTTATTCCTAATTAAGATTCTTATTATGGATATTCCATATTATTCTTATTTTTAATATACATTGTTAATATTAATATACATGTAATTAGTTTTATAAATTTGAATTTACTGTAGTATTCTAAGTTATTGAGCGCTGTTGATCATTGAATGAAAATAGCGCTCTAGAAGTTATTAAATTAAATTAAATTAAATCAAGTCTCAGTGATTCGTAAAATCAGAGGCGTACAATATCAAAGGTAATATGTTTTAATTAAAACTTTATGTGCCATGAAATTGCTGGAAGGTAAAACACATCTCCCTCACTTCTATAGAAAGGGTCGTAACTTCATCCTAGGAAATGTTTTTTGTCTCTAACATGGGCTGTAACACCTCCAAGTGTTAGGTGGGCGGAGTTCCTATTTTGTCAACTTTGAAAGTGGTTGATTTTTAAAATAGCCTTGCCGTCACATAAATCTTTTCGCCGTCAAATTTCAGTTATTTGTAAAATGAAAGGCGTACAATCTTAAAGTTGATATTGTTTTAATGAGTTTTACGTCCCATAAATTTGCTGAAAGACACATCACATCTCCCTCACTTCGATATAGAGTCGTAATGGAACCCATTCCTAATTTGAAACATTTAATAAGTGCTTGTTTGTCAGTACTTTGTACGCCATATTTGCAAATAAATCGTCCTACAAAGTCTAAGTAATTGCATTTTGCCACCAAGATCGCTCAGGTTCGGGCACGTCCACTATTTTATCATTGGACCGTTGGAAGAGCTCGAACTAGGAATCGTGCTCGCTTTCAAATTTACAGATGTCAATTAAACTACTTTTCGACGATCGCCGATAAAATACGTGACACCAAATCTTATTCTCCATCAGACCTTGTAAGAAAGGAAAGAATAACTCTCCTAGATTTCCACAAGACTTTATTCAGTTCTTGATGATCTCCGTACAAATTCAAGACTTTCCGCTGAGTTTCCAACAGATTTACAACTTAATTTTCCTTCGTTCATTGAGTTATATTTTGAGTCTAACATAACATGTGCGAAGTAAAACTCCTAGGTCAAACGTCAATCAAGTCATCGTGTTCCGATTGGATAACTAGACGACAGTACAAATCACGTGCGACTGAGTAACGAAATCTATTCTCAACAGACCTCTTGTGGAATAAGTTTCTTTAGGGACCAGCAATTTTTACACCGTTTTCATATTTAGTGATCGAGTTTTATATGAAAAGCATGTTTTTTTTTTTCATAATTTTAAGTGTTATTCTATTTTTAACTTGTAGTTAGTTGATTAAACCAGGGCCATAAGTTTATTAGCCTGTGGCTATTACGTGCTACCCTGTATAAATAAATTCTTTATTATTATTATCATTACTATTATTAACTCTTGTTTATCACTTCTACGATTCTAGCAAGAACTCCAGACAATGTATGGGAAACAAAATGAGAGGAAAGTCGAATTCAACTGGAATTTGGCTCCTAAGGTGGGTTTAAAGCTAAAATACATCACATGTTCCAAACGAAAGTTATACATCCTCATTTTCACCTTTTTGCGCATAGATGAGCCAAAGGCTCCAGGCTACACAAATTATCCTGTGAGCCGGGCTAGGTGCCATGAAGCTCGCGTTTCAGACAGTTCTAGTCATTCTCGTCAATGAGTCATATTTCAGGCTCTCGTATATGTCACTATTCTTCATCAGTCACTTTCTATTTCGCGGTTCGAGCCTATGATAACAAGGTGTAGCCATGGTGTAGCCTATGATAACAAGGTGTAGCATGGTGTAGCCATGGGCACCAAAATAGGACCTAGCTATGCGAATCTTTTTGTAGGTTTTGTCGAACATCAATTTTTCAGCCAATACAACGGGTCCAAACCTGAACTCTACGGTCGCTACATCGACGACTGTATCGGCGCTACCTCCTCTACCAGAGAGGAGCTCACTCAATTCATAACTGCAGTCAATTCTTTTCACCCGGCTCTGAAATATACTTGGGAAATTTCTGACAATTCTTTATCCTTTTTAGACGTCAAAGTTTCAATTGAAGGTAACGGTTTATGCACTAGTGTGTATTACAAACCTACAGACTCGCATAATTACTTGTTATATTCGTCTTC